AAGTCAGAGATGAGGTATGGATGGATGCCAGGAAAGTTGGTAGTATACACATATACACACATATATATATGCCCACACATAGATGTAATGTGAGAGAAATACATATATATACATATATATATATATATGTATATATATGTATAATGTGAGAGAAATAGCTACTTTAGAATGACCTGCTTTGGTGGCCAGGAAGGAACTGACCATTTTGCTAGATTTTTGCTGTGACTGCTATGGTCCAAGGGTTTAAGATTTTCTTCTTTCCAAAAGAAAACATTGTTCTTTTTTGTAGTAAATCTCAAGCATAGCGGTATCCTTCTAAGCTAATTTTCTCAATTCCAGATAATTGTTAGTGGGTGAAAATGTGGTTTATAGATTCAGCAAAGTTATGTAGAAAGCCAGCTTTTGGGTAGCATGTGGAAACAGCATATGCTGTTGGCTCACAAAATAAATTTGGCCGTTGGCCATTATGACAGCTCTTCTCCCTGGTTCTCCCCATATCTCTCACATCATTCCTTTCAATCTCCTTTAATCATTTCTGTCTCCTCCTGTAATTTTAATATTCACCAGGGTTCTATACTAAACTGTTTTTTGTTTGTTTTTTTTTTAATTTTTTTTTTAATGTTTTATTTATTTCTAGGAGAGAGAGAGAGACAGCGTGAGCAGGTGAGGGTCAGAGAGAGACGGATTCACAGACTGAAACAGGCTCCAGGCTCTGAGCTGGCAGTCAGCACAGAGCCTGATGCGGGGCTCGAACCCACGAACCGCGAGATCATGACCTAAGCGAAAGTCGGACGCTTAACCTACTAAGCCACCCAGGCGCCCCGCTATACTAAACTGTTTTCTCTGGGAGACTCCTTGGGTGATCTCTTCAGATCATTTCCCTTTAGCACTAGTGATACCGCAATGGCTGCTGTCTTTCTACACATGGTCCTGTCTTCTCACCTGAGCTCTCCATCTATGTAATGTTTTACCTGTTTACTATCTATTCCCATTCAGATATACTACAGGCACTTGAGACTCACCTATTTAAGTTTAAACCCAAACCCTTTACACCCAATATGTAACTTACCCTCCTCTGTATCACCATCTTCACAGAAGCCAAACTTACAAAACCCAGAAATCTGAGAGCATTGTCATAGAAGAGCAAATAAGATCCAGAACTATTATGTACTAACATAGATACATTGACACCATGCACACACACACACACACACACAGGTATTCAAAGAGGAATAGTGCATAGTTTTACATAGTAGCTGTATTATAGTCCACCTAGTCCTAGTGAAAATCCTAGGACTTACTTGCCTATTTTCCTGTGGAGAGACATTTGGGTAGTTTTCAGTTTTTCACTATTACAAACAATGCACTGATGAACATTTGTGCCCATATCTTCTGACATAAATATGCAAGTGTTTCTTTAGAGTATGTAAAATGGGAGTAGAATTCCTGGGTATAGATATGTACATCTCCATATACCTGGACAATTGTTGCCAAATTGTTATCCAAAATGGCTTCAGTGTTAATAGTCCAACCAGTAGTAATTTATCTTGTAGTATTCCATGCCCTCCATGATCCTTGCCATTAGACATTTTCATTTTTACATTTGTAAAATATTTCAGGCTAGTTTTCATTTCCTTGAAGTTGAGCTTATTATTATCATATGCTTATTTGACCCCACTCTTCCTTCCTTTTGGAAGTTCCTCTGGTCTTTGGCATACATTTTTAAATTATGTTGGATTTTTTAAATGTTTATAGGAGTTTTCAATAACAGTCCTCTGTTAGCAGGTGTTGCAGTATCTCGTTACATTTTGTAACTCTTTAGGTGTCTACTGATAAATAGAAGTACTTCTTTTTGTACATTTTTTTAAATGTTTTATTTATTTTTGAGAAAGAGAGAGAGCAAGTGTGAGTGAGGGAGGGAGAGAGGGGTAGAGAGAGAAGGGAACAGACCCAAAAACAGGCTGCAGACTCTAACCTGTCAGCACAGAGCCCAATGTGGGGCTAAAACTCACAAACCGCAAAGATCACAACCTGAGCTGAAGTCAGATGCTTAACCTACTGAGCCACCGAGGTACCCCTACCAGTACTTACTTCTAATGCTTACAAGGTTACTGAACTTCTCAGTCTTTATGGTTTCATTTTCTGCTTTAAAAAACAAAAACATAAACAAACTTCTCCATCCTAAGATCCTACAGACGTTGTCCTGAATTTTATATGTGTATTGTGTGGGTAGAGATATAGTTAAGCCACATAAAAACTGACTTTTGATTTTTGATTTCAGAACCATTGTTTGTGTCATGGTCAAATGGGTATTATTTTTCAAGTGTCAGAGTGCCATCAATCATTGCACATTTTCCTGGATCTCTCACTTTGCTCAGATGGGCACCTTGCCATGTTTCAGAAATATTATTCCCAGAATATACTACAAAATGCAAGTAATTCACTCCTAGCAATACTAGGACAACTAATGTTGTTTCATTTGAATAAGAAAAGGTTAATACTCCATCTAAGATAATACCAATATGAAACCTGGCTTAGAAAATGCCCTTACAAAATGAGGCAGTATCTGGAAATAACATTTTAACTCCCAGAAAGTTAAAAAGGAAGCCAATCTTCGTTCTAAAATTTTAGAGAAACTTTCCCAGGATAAGATACATCTTTTGACAGATCTAACTTTTGATCTACATTATTCACTGTCATTTATATGGTGGTAGTGCAGTTTTGATTCAGGTTGTATTTCCTGTGTGTGTTATGTGTATGTTGTAATATAGTGTGGAATCAAGCTAATAAAACAGAAATCTCTGCAATTGTATTACTGAGAACAGAAGTCATCTTTTAGTACAGCTGTCTTCATCTAGTTTCATTTATCCCCTTTATTTGAAAAAGTCCTTATTCTTCAGGGTTGAACTCAACAGAGGAGGTTTCTTATTGCCACTAACCATTCTTCTTTCATTCACAAGTCTTACAATAAACATTTATTACTTATAAAAACGATCAACCTTTTCTTTTGGTTATGGGAAGAGTTCTAAATTGACCCTGTTGACTTACCACAGATATGAAAGCCGTAGAACAGTGATCTCAATTCATTCAACAACTTTTATTAAACATCTTTTATGCACTAGACTCTAAGGATAAAAGAGTCAGAATCTAATTCTTTAGCTTCTCATGACTTTAGAAGGAGATAGGAATCATAAATGTACCACTAGGAATCTATTTCCTTCAGATTTGCCATTTCACAGTGGTCCTTTTGTCCTATGCCAGTTTTTAAAAGCTGAATTGATTGATCTTTGTGTTATGTTTGTAAACTACAAACAAAATTAGAGATTCTTCAAGGTATGATTTTTTTCATTGAAAAAAATGCAATTTTCTATCTTGCCAGGAGGAGAAAAAGCAACTCTAATACATTTAAGGCCAGTAATAATTATACTTTTATTCTGTACTGTAACATTTTCTCCTTCTTTACAATGTAGTTTTAGCTATTTAATTACATGTTACTATAATTGTGTCCATATTTATTGTTAATTTTAACATTCAAGTTCCCAGAGGGAGGACTTGTCATCTTGATAATGCCTTAATGCCTAGAACCTTGGCATTCCTGTGAGTGTAATGTTGTCTCAACTTGGCTTGCTCAGTCAGGATAAGACTGAACACATCCCAGTTTAGTGGCAGCCAACCACGGTTGATTGAATGCAGTCAGGAGGCCAAGGAGGACCCTGTGGCAGATTCAGTTTTAGTAATCTGTGAAAAAAAAAAAAAAGGTGGGTGTTGGATTTCTGAAATACTCTAAACATACTTAATGTTTGGGGATTTTTCATTGGTTATTCATTTAAGTTAAAGAAGCTATTAGCAGGAGCTTTTTTGTAGTTCATACAGCATTAGCAGCTAATAATAATAGTTTCCAAATATTTCGTGGAAATTTACGAGCATTTTCATATTCAACACTTCATTTCATCTTCAGACCACCTCTGAGGCAGATGTTATCTCATTTTTACAGGGGAGAAAACAGAAGTCCTGTTAGGTTAAATGATTTCTCTAAAGTCACATAACTAGTAAGAAATATACCTGGATCCAAATCTTTGTTTCCTGACTTCAAGTCCCATTCTGTTTCAACTATACCAATCTGCTATGACACCTCTTATGCCTTCAAAGTTGGAAATGTGGCGGCGTTACTGAATTCTACTGTGTTGACTCATCCTAGCCATTATTGCCCCAGAAGCTACTCTGATTGTCAGTGTTAGGCATATTTTATTTATGTTCATAAAGAAACACTGACAATGTTTATACAAGGACCCTTCTGATTGACCTCTGTTACCCACCAGCTTACCTTTTATAAATCAATTTAACAGTCAGTAATCATCATTCCTTTTAGTTAAGTCACAAAGAGAGTATTTACATAAGTACAGAGGTCAGTCCATTGATGTGGTAACTCCAGTACTGACACGGAATAAAATCTAATTACTAAATAAAGATATGTAGATTTAGTAAATGAATGTCGACCCACAACATTTCATCAACAACTTCTAAAATGTGAAGTCACTATTAGAGACACACTTACAGTCAAAAAACCACTAAAAGAAATGCATGTGATCAGAACTTTCTGCTGTTAAGAGATTAAAATTCAGGTTAATAGGTAGATTCTAAAGGAGTCTAACAAATTGTAAATTGTGATGAGATTACTAAAGAAATGGCTTGAGAAACCTTCGTAATCTTGCCATAAAAAGACAACGCAGAGGATATTTTACTTCTTGACCTTAATTATGAATATTGTTGTAGGCCCTTGATATTTTGTTAGCTCATAATAGAGATGAATTAATTCTCAAGCAGTTATAGTGATTAAATTTTCTTTATCTCTTTTTTATGTTAATGAAGCATAGGGAAATCAGTCTCTAAACCAATTCTGAAATAGAATTTAACTTTTTATTGCACTTACGTATCTCTTTTCTTTTACTCTGAATGGCATGTTTTAGACTAAAATTATCTTGATTTTCTTTTTTCTCTAGGCTTGATCCTCCACAACCTGAGAAGTTGAAAAAGGAGCACAGCTCAGCTGAAAACATGTCTTTAGAAACTCTAAGAAACAGTAGTTCAGAAGACCTCTTTGATGAGATTTAACTGTCTCAAAAGGTACTTTGATGTTCACTAGACTACGCTTTCTATTCATTTCTTTAAACTAAGAAAGCAAGATTTCGACTCAGCAGAAGCTCTTACTGTACCTTACAATTTAATTACATACACAGTGAATTGAAACCATTGTGCAGAATGGATTATGCATGTATATGAAGATATGATTTGATGACAGTGGTACATTATTCTAAACTATTCATTCCCATGCCTGTAATTACATAAAATCTCAGACTTTGTGTTGCAAAGGACACATTTATCTTATTCAGTTCACACATATTATATGTGGTAGCTGTCTAACATCCTGTCTAGGAAGATTTTGGAAATAGGACAAAGAAAATGTCTACAGTTTTTTTTTGTTTTTTTTTGAATAGTCATTTTCAGAACAATGATGTTTGAACATTTTAATTTGTGAAATGATGTATAAAATTTATTTTAGTTTGTACAGAAACAACCTCAAAATCTGATGATAAAATTTTTGATTTTATAATAATACACTTTACAAGGTGCTTACTGATATAAATGTAACACCTTTTTGTATCAAAAACATGTTTTTTCATAGATTGTTGGTAAAAGACTTCTTACACATTAAGGACCCTCTTTGAAAATAAGGACTCTTGTCATATTCACTTATCAATCCTCAGTAACATCTAGCACAATTTTTTTTAAAAAAATAGTTACTGGGGTACCTGGGTGGCTCAGTCAGTTAAGCGTCCGACTTTGGCTCAGGTCACGATATCACAGTCTTTGGGTTCGAGCCCCACGTCGGGCTCTGTGCTGACAGCTCAGAGCCTGGAGCCTGCTTCAAATTCTGTGTCTCCCTCTCTCTCTGCCCCTCCGCCACTCACTATCTGTCTCTGTCTCTCAAAATAAAATAAAAAAATAAAAATAAAAAAATAGTTACTGTTTCTACTGCCTACCCCTTCATTCTGTCTTCTCTTCTCTCCAGTTGAACATCCCTCTTCTCCATGGTTCTCAAAGTTAACAGTGACTAACCACCATGTTGCTAAATTCATTGGTTGGTCCATTCTCAGTCCTCATCTTACTAAGCCTCTCTGCTACACCTGACCTAGTCAGTCACTTCTCCGTAGACACTTTCTTCACTTGCCTTTTGCATTAACATATGCTGTTTGTTTCCTCTTTCTTTTCAGACACAGAGGTCTCTTTGACCCACAGTTAAGAGTGGGTTTGAGTGCCTCAGGCTTAATTCAGCTTTCTTTTCACTCCCTACATTGTCTACCTAGTTTTTCATGATTTTAAATACCATTTGCATGCTAATATCTCCAAAACTAGAATAGTTGTGTTTCCACAGTCATGTATTCAGTCATGTATTCAGTCATGCATTCTACAGTATGTATTCAGTTGACCCCCGAACAATGCTGGGGTTGAGACATTGCTGCCCTGTGTAGTCAAAAATCCATGTATAATTTTTGACGCCCCAAAAACTTAACAACTAAGAACCTACTATTTACTGGAAGGCTTACCAAAAATATAAACAATTAATACATATTTTGCATTTATATGTACTATATATTGTATTCTCACAGTAAAGTAAGCTAGAGAAAACAAAATGTTACTAAGAAATCAAAGGAAAGTAGGGCGCCTGGGTGGCTCAGTCAGTTAAGCGTTTGACTTCAGCTCAGTTCATTATCTCACGGTTCGTGGGTTCGAACCCCGCGTCGGGCTCTGTGCTGACAGCTAGCTCGGAGCCTGGAACCTGCTTCGGATTCTGTATCTCCCTCTCTCTGACCCTCCCCTGCTCCCGCTGTCTCTCTCTGACTGTCAAAAATAAATTTAAAAAAACATTAAAAAAACAAAGAAAAGAAATCAAAGGGAAGAGACAGTGCATTTATATGGCTATACTGTAAAAAAATGTGTGTATAAGTGTACCTGCACGGTTCAAACCCCTGTTGTTCAAGGGTCAGCTGTATAATTTATCATTAATTTTTGCAAAAGGAAGTTCTCAAAAATCTGACTGAGTATATCTATCTGATTTGGATGATTATTTGGATGCTTAAGTACACCTAAAGCAGAGATCTGATTATATCCCAATCATTTTTTTCCCCAGTCTTCCTCTACCTAGCAAATTACCCTAACACTTTCCCGGTTGCTGCAAGTTGAAAACCCAGGAATCCTGCTCAGTACCTCTGCTTCCCTCTTCTCCCACATTCTGTTATTTTTTACCTCCGAAATATAGCTTGACTCTGTCTACTTCTTTCTCTGTCTACTACAGCTGCCTTCTGACTGGTCTCCCTGCCAATCTCCTTCTACTCCTAAATGCATGTCTGCCACAAAATAGCCACTCAAATGTTTCCTTAAGTTATTAAACTGTTTTGAAAAGAAACTTAGGAAAAGGTTGAAATTTACTTAATTGATTTGATGCAGAGAAATAATTGTTTAGAAAGCTCAAGTACCTTTTGTAATTAATTATAGACACTGTATACATATGTATTTATGCATGTAGGCTTGACTACAGAAAGAGAATGAGAAAGAAACTACACTGATATAAATTACATTGTTTATATCAGAATAGGATTTTATTAAGTCAGTAGAACAATAAAATAAAAAGAAATTTTACTGTGTTTTTATTTCCATAGTGGCATCCATTTAAGATGGGAAAGTTTAAAATAAATGTAAACATAAATATATGAAATATAAAAATGCAATTATAGGGGTGCCTGAGTGGCTCAGGCAGTTGAGCATCCAACTCTTGATTTCATCTGGTCTCAATCCCAGGCTTGTGGGATTGAGCTCCATATCAGGCTTCATGCTCAGTGTAGAACCGGCTTAAGATACATTCTCTCTCTCTCTCTCTCTCTCTCTCTCTCCCCC